CATTTATATGATCCTCACTTGCTTCATTTCTAACCAATGCGAGATTTCACCTCTACTCATACTTGAATAATTCCAACATCATAATCTAACCATATTATGCTGCCTAATTTAAGGATTCAATCTACTATTTTATGGAAATATTAAAGTGTTAGTAATAGGTGAAATCCCAATCGGTTAGAAAAGAATCAAGTGAGGATAATATATATGCAAAAAGACCCATTAATCTATATCCTTAAAAGTTTAGGTTAAAATGTCATATCTACCCATTTATTACGATTTTTCATTTGTCTCATTAATAAAGGTATCCTTTGTAAAAGGATGGGGCTCCCATGCCCCTTGCACTATTAACCATTACAATAATAGCCAAACTTGTTTCATCCCCATGTGATACATACAACTATGTCATGGTCACAAGCCTAATAGGCCTAATAAAAAATCCTCACAGGTTCAAACATTATCCCCATCTGTTGCTAAAATCATTGCACATGCTTCCCTTGGTTTCTATGACTGTAGGTGGTCCACAAATACACTGTACATTATTTTCCTCAAGCTCCTTTCATTATTATGCAATGTTAGAAAAATTATGATTTGACTTGAGTTTTCTTCTCTCTCAATCTTATAACTTAATGTCCATCACTACCCTGAGAATTATGAAGGGAAAACTCTTTAATAGTTGGGTGGGATTGGGACTAGATAAGGGCTTGTAACTGTATGGTTGAAGAAGGGTGTTGGAGACCCATACAAAGTGACTAGTGTAGTAATAATTACATCGGATGATGAGGTGTGAGTGTGACCAGCAATTCAACGAAAGCTTATGAATAAATAATGATGCAGTAAAGGAAACAGCCACCTACCCTGAGTGTTTGTATGAATTAGGATGGAGCTATTTTCATGATCCCTCAATGTGCTGTAAGTTCCTTTACCACTACCATCTTACTATTTGCACACTTAACCCACATCAATTCCATGTCAGCCAACATAACAACGTGATTTTCATTGAACCCACCTCAAATTTTATGCACCACTTCAGTATGCACAAAATGCTCTGAGGAACTATTTCGGTATTTCCCCTTTTCTATTTATCTTATGTAGTCAGACATACAACTTCAGAGTAATGTTATTTGCATAACACTAGAGTCAAGCCATTTATATCTGCTCTGGGATTATTCCAGAGGTCGCCTAATAAGCCCGTTTCCGAGCTGGGCCTTCCATCTAAGAAGGTTTAGCCAACTAAGGCATGAGCCCACTAACTCCGGACTTGGGTTTGCGACCCACAATCCTTTAACTCTTCTTCCTCACCTATGATCACCACCTACGAGATAACTATTTTGTGGCCACTTTAATTTCCTTCATAATAACTGTCCCAATAAGCCTTATATATATTTGAACAGTGCTCCGCAGAGATCATCTTAGCCACATTGCATTACAAAGCACTTAAAGCTCTAAAGAACACTCACTATCTTCAGGAATATGCACACACCCTTATAGTGTTTCCATCGAACCGTTGGCTAAAGGTATTGGACTTCTTAATGCCAACCATCCCTACCTTAGTTTGCTAGATACAATTACTAGCTATCCAGTTAAGCATTTGTATTCACGTATTATGGCCCTGTAAAAGTGTATATAGACCTTTCAAAACCTGCTAGCATGAAAAAATAATATTGGGAAAACCACCCCTACCATGAATATGACAGAGCTCGAATTGAATTAATTGGGTTTCCCATAAATCGGTAGTGACCCGCTACTCTCCATAAATGTAAATGACATAACAACAGGTGATACATACCAGTCAATACAGAATCAATAAAATTGCCATTGAGCTTATATCTCAATCTGCACTGAACCAAGTCTTCAAACATGGTCATCATGATGATGATGTTGGAGGTTTCATCCTCCAACTGGTCACTCATTCCCCCCTCCCCTAACCAGGTGCTTGCACCTCCAATGTATACGATGCATATTAACTGAGTCTGACTCCATACAAGCTTTTAAGAGATATGTGCCAGTTGCACATAATTGTAACTTCAATGTTATGTAAATGGTAAGTGGTAAAGATCAACTAAAATTTAGGGGGCATTTGGTATGTTTATATTTCAATATTAATATGTATAAGTAAAGGTTTATTGTCTATCATGTTGTAGAAGATAATTTTATCTCCTACATATATAAAAATATGTAGGACCTAATTTCTTCTCTCTTCTCTCTACATTGTCCTACATGGCCTCCTCACACTTTTATGTCTGTGCAGCGGATCATTTTATCTCCTACAATGTGAGAAACATCAAACTCATAAATAAAATATCCTGTATTTTGAATGCCTTAAAAATATGATAAACTCCGATCCATAAAATTCCATGACTTTGCAAGATTAGGGATGGAAATTTATTATAAGTAATTTTATCCTTATATTTTTATAGAGACAATTTTCTCACCTTAAAAGTAGAGGTAAAAAATTCAATGAAGACATTCATATTGAAAAAAAAAATCAAAAAAAAAATCACCTTATCAAGAATATATATATATATATATATATATATATATATATATATATATATATATATATATGGAGAAGGATATTATAACAACCAAGTAGTGTTACTACTAATATTACTACCAATTAATTTCACCGTTAGATCGATTATGTTGATCCAACGGTTATATTTATTTCTATCTTTTTATGGTTATGATTTCTCATATTTAATACTATATATTTATTTTCACCTGTTACGATTTCTCATATTTAATGCTTTCACTTTAAATATGGGGAATCATAACCATACAAAGATGAAAATAAATATAACCGTTGGATCAACATAATCGATCTAACGGCGGAATTGATTGGTAGTAACATTGTTAGTAACACTACTTGGTTATTACAATATCCTCCCTATATATATATATATATATATCCTATATATATATATATATATATATATATATATATATAGAGAGAGAGAGAGAGAGAGAGAGAGAAATATTTCTCAAGTTACTTGAGATATATTTATCTCCAGTCAGCATAAAATTACATTTTTTTATTTTTTTATTTTTTTATATTAATTGATTCACCCTTAAATGGTTATGATTCCTATTTTCTCTCTCTTCCTTATCACCATTGATCCATCTTTGTACGATTATGATTTAGGGCCTGTTTGGATGAGCTTTTTTTTCTTCCAAAAGCAGCTTTTTTTAAGAAAAAAATACTTCTTACTTTAAGTTCATTTGGATGTCTGCTTTTAAAAAAAGCATAAGTCATAAAAAAAGTCAAAAACCTACTTTTTTAAGAAGCTAAAAATTTTAACTTCTAAAAAAGGAAGAAGTCAAAAGCCAAATATTTTTATAAAAATGTAAATAACTTTAACTTTTGTAAAAAGTACATCTAAAATAAGAAAGAGATAAAAGTTACTTTTTCTATAAGCCCAAACAATAGGTGTCAAACAACTAGTTGGAGATAAATCTGAGTCGTTGATCTTTTTTGATCTAACGGCTCTCAGATGAGGTGTCAAACTTCAAATTTGACACCGGTGTCAAAGGATCCTACCTCATATATATATATATACATATATATATATATATATATATATATATATATATATTAAGGTTGGCAAAAACGAGTCAACCCGTCGAGTTGGCTCGTAACCTGCCAAAAATGAGCCGGGTGGGGTTGGCAAAAATGAGCTGCCAACCCGACCCGAGCCAGCTCGTGAAAAAATGAACCAATCTGCGGGTCAAACAAGCCAGCTCACGGGTTGATTTTTTTTTTATGGAAAAATACAAATATAATATACAAAAAAAGACAAAACCCACACATGTTGTCATTATTTTTCTTTCTTCTCTAAACATAAGTCCCTAATCTTCTCACATCCATGCTATTTTTATATTGTTAGACTGTGCTGGCTCTGTTTGATTTAAATATCTTACCCACTTGGTAGCAATTGGTTTTGATTGTTTCTTAATGTTGATGCAAATTTGTTGTGAAGAAAATTCGAAACTAAAATATTTTGTTTTTATTTCTCATTTTGTAACCCTTTGTTTAAGCTGATGGAAGCCACATAGCTGATGCATTAATACTACAGGGTCATTTAAATAGGCTAAAAATGAGCCAACCCACGAGCAATTTTTGAGCCAACCCACAAGCCAATTTTTGAGCCAATTCGTGAGCTATTTTTTCAAGCCAACCCACGAGCCATATTTTTGAGGTAACCCGCGAGCCAACCCTAACCCGACTCGAGTCGGGTTGAATTTTCTGGCTCGTTTTTTTTTTTCTCAAACCAACCCTAACCCGGCTCGTTTTTTTCGAGTTGAATGCGGGTTGGCCCGTTTTGCCAACCCTAATATATATATAGGGGAAAGATAACAACCAAGTTGTGTTACTACCAATCAATCTCACCGTTAGATTGATTATGTTAATCGAACAATTATATTTATTTTCATCTTTGTATGGTTATGATTTCTCATATTTAAAGTGAAAGCATATATAGGGGAAGGATATTGTGACAACCAAGTTGTGTTACTACCAATCAATCTCACCGTTAGATTGATTATGTTGATCCAACAGTTATATTTATTTCTATCTTTGTACAGTCATGATTTCTCAAATTTAATACTTTATATTTATTTCCACCTTTGTATAGTTTTGATTTCCCATATTTAATGCTTTCACTTTAAATACGGGGAATAATAACCATACAAAGACGAAAATAAATATAACCGTTGGATCAACATAATCAATCTAACGGTGAGATTGATTGGTAGTAACATGGTAGTAACACAATTTGGTTGTTACAATATCCTTCCTCATATATATATACCTTTATTTTATTTTTCTCTCCTTCCACTATTGGTTGAAAAAAATAGGTAAATTAGGTATGAAAAAATATAAACTTAATACCTTATCCCATATATATAATTTACCCCTAATTTTTTCACCCTAAAATAACGGAATATCGAACCAACTCCTAGGATATGCAAACCCAATAGATGAGGATAAAATCCAAGGAGAGATTAATTATATCAATTATGTACATCATTTCAGTAAGGCCACCACATACAAATCGTGTGCCAGCAAGCAGGTGGAAAACCAAGTCCAAGGCATGATAATGTCTGTCAAATTTAATATACAACATTAGGCGCATACCAAAAAAAAAAATATACAACATTAGGCACGAACTTACTATACATATATTTTACACAATCACTAAGATTGAAGAGCAGTGCTTTCAATGAATTTTTTAATTTTTAACTGAAGTTACTTAAAATGACCTAAAAATTATGAGGACTTTTTTATGCGACCAAGAACAATTAGTGTGTCTGACATGACCTATAGGAATGTGCAACTGCCACCAAGGATTAATTCATGGTTCTGAATAGGACTTTGATAGATACTGACGCCATTCTTCAGGTGTTCCCTTTTTTACTGTTAGCATGTTTAACGCTGCACTAGTTAGAGGTATGGCAAGTATATCATAGTCCTTTGGGGCCTGAATAACAACAATAAGATTCTTAATTGTCAAAATATGAAAAGATTAAAGACCCTAAATATCTTGAAATAGGTAGTATGTTTCAAGGGAAATGATATACCTACTACTATTTTAGCTTTACTCTCTTATTACCTAATTGATTACCTTTGAATCAATTTGAGATCAACGATAGGTAATTTTTTCCATTTTTTAACAGTGATTTCAAATTAATCCAACTGTAACCAATTAGGTAGTAAGAGTAATAAGACTAAAATAGTAGTAAGTATAACCCTTCCCATATTTCAATTGATAAATACAATTAAAGGTTCGTATTTTAACATTGGCAACACTTCCTTGGAAGCTATCATGTTTCCACTCATGCCTAGACAAGGATACGAACAGCAGGATCAAATAAGGAGCATAGAAGTAATATGCATGGTGATTTTCGTTCACAGGCAATTTTCAATAATGTTCTGCTTATTTATATGATCATATAAAGAAATCATATTTGTTGTACATAGTTAAGAAGGCAGTACCTTGGGGACCTTAATCAATGTCATTCTTGCTTCCTCTAAAGTTTTTTGACCTTTCCTTGAGTTGCATTTGACACAAGCAGTTACCTACCATCAGCAAATATTGTATCAGGAGTTTTCTATGTTGTGAAAGGTTGATTGAGGACTCATGGTAAACAGGCAATAAAGTGGAGATGGGCTTTGAACTGACACTCAATTAAGAACATAGCCAGACGGAAAAGAAGAATGTAACAAACTTCATTTGTAACTAGATTTCCACTTGCCGCCTCCTTTTGATACCAACGTTTGTAAAGGGAAATGCAGCAGATGCTAATCATACTCTAGAATTGAAATCAAAATGATTTACCCATTCTAAGCATTATTAAAGAACAGATTCACATAATTTTTTCATTTAATCATATTAACAAAAACAAAACTCTAAGAGGGCGAGCCTAGAGCAACAGTAAATGTGCTCCTTTGTAATCGAAAGGTCAAAAGATTCGAATTCGGGAAATAGCCTCTTTGCAAATATGCAAGAATAAGACTGCGTACAAAGATTGTCCTCACCCCTACTCTCGCTAATCGGGTTTGGGGAGTGATTTTTTCATATTAAAAGATATTCTACTTACCTTTTCCTTTTTCTTTTCCTTTTTCTTTTTTGATGAACAAAATTTTGTATTTCTACTTTCACGATTAAATCTTAAAATCTTAATTGAGCTTTTCAGTCAACTTGAAGGGAAATCGAAGTACCAGTATACCACCATAGGCAGTGTTTCTTTTCTGCCATAACAACCAGTAGTGTTTCTTTGGCAGCAAAATAGAAGAGTAACAAATGAACGGAGAAAAATTATATTTTAGGTTCATCTACTCAAGAAGAGGCACTCATGTCAATAGTCATGCTATTTATACAAAAACAATAATAATAATAATTCTTTAGCTTTATTCCAGGCTGTAATTTTGTTCTTCAGAGTACTGTTACAAACAAATAAAGGGCACAATCAATGCCTCTGAAAAAAAGCTCACAACATATATATCTGTAAGACTTGACATACACCCTCAATACTCCCAGAAAGTGATTTTCATAAATCTTACTTATCAATAGTAAATAATCATCATGTTGATCTTGCATGTCAAATTTTAGAAAAGTAGGACAATAATAAGTATTCAATTAGTTGATATTTTCTTTACACCAAAATGATTCTCACCAGATTTTCCCATGTCCATTCTCCACCTAGTGCCATAGGCACCACATGATCAATGGTCAAATTTTCACGAGAAGAGCAATACCTGTTGAGAAGGTAACATAATGTAAGTGCAAGGCCTTATATATGAACTAAATAGTCACTTAAAATGACCAGACTACCATTGGATCATTCTGCATTTGTTAATTGCATAAGACTTTCATGAAAGATAAAAAACAATGTTTTTTCTCTTCTGACTGATAATTACCCCATAATGATGAAATGTTGAGAACAGGCATAGTACTTGTTAGTTGTTACATTCCACGTACTCAAATCTCAACTATAGAAGCAAATGACTCATGCTAGTTATGGGCTTGCATAAGGAACTAAAAACAAACCATACGCGTCAACAAAATCAAATTTAAAGGATCCCTCATGTTCTTCATTACACCTTACATTGACTTTCATCCAAATTACTGAAGACCCCAACCAATACTATAATCGTGAATACCAAACTGCATACCACCATCTATATCCCATATCCATTGACTAAATAATAAATTATAATCTTAATGTTTGATCATTTATGGCTTAACTTACATATTTTCACAAATTATTAAGCACTTAATTTTTCTATGGCAACCTTGATGGAAAACAAGGTTGGGGATTTTATTTTATGCTTGAAAAATCCCGAATCATGAATAAATTTCAGCTGGACTAAGGTTATAGTCCTGTCAATCAATGTTTTACTTAAACAGTATTAAAGACGTTCTAAAATATTATCTGACCTGTATCAAGAAGAACAAGTGTTTAGATTGAATTCTTTTTTGAAATAGTATTCAAACATCTTTGATAAAATTCATCTGGTCATTGATGAGACCTTGGGATGCACCACCCCAAAAACTAGCTCAAACGGTGGGGGTGTCCAAAGTCTTATAAAACTCACATTAGTTGCTCATACAACCAACGTGGGACTCCAAATCTCATACCATGCAAATGGAACCCGACAGTCATCCCCTTTCTTATATCAAATTTAAACACAAAATAGTGTTGGATGTGTTCTTTATTCAAGTTTCAAATTTAGCAGGTCAACAAATAGTCATTAATAGTTAATTGTGCACTTGTGGCAACAAATAACTCTTAGGGTTATAGCACATGGTACAGCTATTTTGAAATGTCAAGAATATTAAAACTGGATATAATTTAATAAATTCAAAATGACAAATATGAAAGTAAACAACTAATATGCAAGAAAAGCAGAAAACTAAATTAAAAGCATACATATTACAAAATTATCAAATTGACCACTTAGAGCTCACTTTCAAAGTAACCTGAATTTAAAACATGTATTTGTCAAACTATGTTAAGGTTAGGGTATCTATAAAAAGATGCTATCGGAATCTGATTGAATCAAAGAATGGGTCTTGAAACAGAAATGGAGAATAGGAAGAGTGAAAGGGAGAACTCAGCAGGCAATTGCAGTGACTGCTGGCAAACTCAGACACTACCTTTGAACTCATAGAGGGAGCCAACATGCATGTTTGAGAAGCATCAGAGGCTGAATGTTTGAGTTTAGGGTATGTTAGAGATATATAAAACCATTAATTTAGCCTCACCCACCAGCTTAAGTTTTTGGGTTGAATTGGTGTATCAAAGCTTCGGTGTCACGGGTTCGATCCTCACCGCCTCTCACTTTATCTTGTGGAATTTCTTAGCACAGATAGGTGGGCATATGCAGTATCCACCTTTGAACCCCAATGGGCTCTCGTGTGAGGAGACGTGTTAGAGATATATAAAACCATTAATGTAGCTTCACCCACCAGCTTAAGCTTTTGGGTTGAATTGGTTCTTTACAGGATAATTTCTGATGAAATACTTAAAGGCTCTACTATAGAACTCGGATATCGCACAGAGTGCACATGAAATTAGAATTTCGTTTGAAACTTGCTAGAGTGTGTGGCATAGTGTAAGGGTTCGTTGTGGATAGGTAAATGCTATAGCACTTGCCATGGGCTCTGTTAATAATTATGACTCTACAGAAGAGAGAACATGTTAATAAGAAGTCATATTTATACTCAACATTTTTAGTTTTAGTACTACGTGATTCTCAATTAACAGGGTAAAAAAGGAAATGGGGTGGCATAGTTCTACCACCCATTCCAGAAGAAGAGAATGCTTATCACTCGGCAGTCGGCAACCCTTTCCTAGACCAAGTGTCCCCTCCATTCCAAAGAAAAAGAAGTAGATAAATAATAAAGAGAAAAAAGGGAAAAAAAATTAATTAAAAATTCAAAGTAAGATATACATCTCAGTGGCATTCACAGTTTCATTTATTCTACAAGTTAAACAAGTAATTAGGCCAATGTAACTATGTAAGCTTTGACACAAATTGCAGTGCACCAAGTGAAAGCATGGCCAGTTAGCCTTTTCTCAGGATTAAGCACCTCAACCTATCATAAAGTTAGCTTTACATAGCTTATTCATTTTGCAGTCTTGTCCCTGAATAACTTGTTAACAGACAATTCCATTGAGGTCATCCACTCAGGTAATAAAATGACTGTTATTTGCAATTCTAATGCTCTAAAGTTGAAGTAGGAAAAGAATTGCAGTCACAAGTCACAACAAATGGATGAATCTTTTATGTTAAGCTCCACATTATCTTACCGAATTCAGGATTCAGAAAAATATGAATACCCATGAATTTCCTTTAGCAATGACAATCTTGATTGAGGTTATTGAGTTTGCAAACTGACTACATCATCTAATATATATATAAATATATATATCGAACACATTTAGATCTATGAGAAATCCAGGTTATGTAGAGACTTACTGACAGGTGTAATTGTCCCTAAATAGTATATTTTTCCGACTAAGTTTGTTCTTGATCATTCTTCTTTTAACAACCTGAAGTAACTGAGGAACCTGTACCAAAATTAAGGATATGTTGAGCTTATCTGTATTGGAGAGAGCATACAAATAATAAGAAAATATTTAGTAATAATACAGTTGAAAATTATTTTGTTTTGAATGCTGATTGAGAACCACCGTTACTGCTGGAATTGTGAAGAAGATTAACAAAATCCGATAAATCAAATGTATTACTCAATGCATACCCTTAAGACAGCTGGTATATAGAAGGATCCACTGGGAGAGTTCACAGTCTGAGCATAATACTCTAATACATCAGCCTGGATAAAGAAACTTCTGAAATTATAACTTGATAAACAGATCTTCAGTGTTCCTTTAAAAAGAAGAGAATGAGAAAAATTGCGGTCGTGAGTGGGTAGTGATGTATGTGCCTTTCCATATGCACATTCAGCATGTAAGCCCCAGAAATGAAACAGGCTTAGATTACACATTCAACTACAAATCAAACAAAGTGAAGCTGCATCAGATAACTAACAAAAAATGAAAAGGTAGAGCTGAAAAATCTGACCTTCTCCATAAACTCCAAGCATATAGCACGTTTCCAGCCTACAACATTGACTGGCCTGGAGCAGGATGACAGCAGTCAGAACCATAAGCAAACAACTGAGCAGGTGTCTTGGTATTGGTTACTATAAAAGACAAAATCAGATGTTACAGTCTTTCAATGGGACTATCCCCCAAAGGGACTAGTGCCATGAGTCCAATATTCATTACCATCCACAACTTACATATAAAACCACTCCCCAATTAAATCTCACTAGCGAGGATAGGGGTGAGAAAAATTCTTGTACACAACCTTACCCTTATATATTTGCACAGAGGCTATTTCTCAAATTTGAACCCTTGAATTTTCAGTCACAATGAGCAGTTTTACCATCCACAACTTACATATAATTCTCAAAAGTACTAAGCCCCACCAAACAAGCACTTAATTGAAAAACAGCTTGGAAAGGTTCAGAATCAAAAAACTGCAGCATTGAATTACAAAAATCAGCAGGAAACAGTCTAAGTACCAGAAACACCCAAATTAAAAAAAAAAAACAAAAACAAAAACAAAAAATTAACCCCTATAGACCTTAGTGTGCTCAATATAATAATATTTATTCAGGGAAAAAGTTCAAAACTTTAAATTATTGTAGTGCACAGCAATACATGGCAAGAAAAAAAAAAAAGTTACCTGTATGATATATCCAACACCAGACCTCGGAAACAAGACAAGTCATCATCATCTAACTCATCATCATCATTATCATCATCATCTTGGTCACGAACACCCTCATTCCCAACAGTGGGGCGTGCCTCCGCATTGCAACGGTTGGTTTTGCTACGCAGAGATGATGAATAGTAAATTCCAGCATAACAACCTATGTACCTTAGCCTCTGCCTGTGATGAGTGTGGGTCTGAATTGATCTGCACTTGGAGAGCAAAAATGGGTCCTTTTGATACAAACGAGATGATACTCCATTCCCATTGAAGAGAAGCTTTAACCGACCCTGTGTGGTGAACTGTGCCATATGCCCTTCAATCACTTTTTACTTGCAAGTTGCAAGCTTGAAGCTTGTTCTTTTCTTCTCAAACCCACCTATGATAACATTCTGAGATATTTGTATTGCTACATGTCACCGTCGTCACAGAATAGAAACTTGTAACGCAAAGACATATTGGCTTTAGAAGGCAAAAAACAACAAAAATCAGGACATGCAATGCATTATTGTCTAAGTATTTGCTCCGTGGAAGAAAACTGTTAACCACATGTTTCCGAATTTTCCTATAACTCACAAGTTTGGAATATCTACTTGCTGGTGATTTGTCTTTAGCTGGATTGACAAATATGCCCTTTATAATTAGATGTTGGAATGCTGATCTGAGACGCTCAGACAAAACAAAAATGTGTGGAACCTTTTTTTTATTTTTGGAGTTAATCCGATTTTAATTATTTCTTTTAAGCGAATTGATTTTCTGCAGTATTTGCACAAATTGACTCTTTAATCTGATTATAGCAGGACAAGTCAGGAATGAAAATATTTAAATTCCTCTTGAAAGTGGTATGTGAAAATCGATCCAGAGTCTTTTATTTTTCACTTATTCAACTCTGCTAGCTACCATCATTTGGTAAATGTGTGGATCCTTGTGAGATAACTTAAATAACCTGACAAATGAGCTAGAAAAAAACTGAAATCTCAATAAATGTTAACTTGATCAATCCAATGAACCAGTGTTCGATGTTTAATACTTTTATCAAATCACTATTAAACTAACTATTACAACTAAAGGTTATTACAAAAATTGTTTCATGTGATTTTGGGTGACATTTAAACTTGCAAATGAAATCAATAAATAAGTGATGAAATTCAAACATAAAAAATAAAATTTGAAAGCGTTATAAATTCGAGAAAATTTTTTAAAAAAATTCAGACCCTAGAGATTTGGATTAGGTTAGCAATTTATTATTTCACAATAAAATTGGCCCAACTTAGTTCAAATTTAACTTGGCCCAAAACGACAAGCCCACACCAAATTGCCAACTCTAACTACTAGAAATATTTTTCGATGCTTAAAAACATAGGAGCTCTGAATTCTGAGGTGCGATTTTGAATTTTGAAAGGAATGACATAAGCACCGAAGTACTAGTACGCAATACTAATAACGCTAAGATTGTAGAGTAAAAGAGAGTGAAACAGAAGGGGTTTAGGGGGTTGGGGACGAGACAATAAGATTAAATTAATTTAAAAAATATTAAGTTACAACAATACACATGTACAAGTTATTTTACACAAAGAAACTTTTCTTTTGTTTTTGCTAAAAAAAAAAAAAAAACTGTGTAGGATTCTAGCACACATAAGTTATTTTAATACAAGATTTTAAAGAAGTGAGAGGATACTTTAAATGCAAATCTTTCTCAACAGCTGATTCTTTATAACGTGCTTCACTTGCCCCCAAATTCATCCCCCAGTCCAATGAGAATTGTTCAAACAATTTGTTGCTAAAATTCTCAAGTTGTATAGTACAGAAATTTGTTAACTATTTTTTTTTTTTCTATTTTTTTTTTTTAAAAAAAAAAAAAAAAAATCTCTATTTCAAGTACAGAGGATAAGTCTGGACTCTGGACACACGGTGAGGAGGAACCCTTGTGACGAGGTCACAAATTCTGGTAGCTAAAACAAAGGGTAAGGCTGCATATCCCTCCCTCAGAACCCTCAATAGCAAGTGAAACTGCACTGGGTTCCCATTTAACATTATTTCAACTGCATGAACCATGAGATCAACCACACTACACCATAAGGTTCCTCCAATTCTGGTCTAACGTGTTTTAAGTTTACACAAAATAGCATAATTAGCATCCCATGATCCTTTTATTGCCTCATCTCAGACAAGGCTAAAAATAACTCTTTAGCTGTAGAAACGAAACCGACAAGGACAGATTATTCTTGTGCATCAAGACCAACCTGTGAAACAGTTAGGAGGACATTGTGAGTTTTCTTTATAACTCGTAATAATCACTAAATAATTGAACAAATAAGAAACCATGAAATAATGTTACATCCAATATTCACGGAAGTCACATGTTTCTTAAGGGTTTGTAACTGCTGACCAAAACAATTTTCATGCAAGTCCAATATGGTATTTTCATCTCTGATAAGGTCTTAAAAAAAATTATTTGTATTACCTTTGTGGTATTCAACTAATGCAAAATATTTTGTAATACCTTCATTCTTGTCAAGTATAATAAATCATAAGAGTTTCAATACGCAATCCAATATGTTCGATCAAATCCAAAAGATTGCACACAAAAATTTATCTCAAGGACAGATTGATTAACATTGTTTTCTTTTGTGGTTCAGGCTATCCCTGCATTTAGTACCACTTAAACCACCTGCTGAAGCGTGCACTAAATCAGCATATCTACCAAACAAAAAGTACCACTTTTTATTTCAAGAATAAATATCATTTTTGGTCCTAGCAAATTTCATGATTCTCGCTTTAGTCCTTAGCAAATAAAAAAGCTATTCGTGGTCCTTCAGAAATTCAAAATGTACCCATTTAGTTATAATCGTGATCCCTCACAAATTCAAAAAAGATCCATATTAGTCCCTCAAAAAGACTAAAATGAGTTCACTTTAAATTTCTTAAAGACCACTTTTATTTGCTAGGGACTAAAACAGACATCGTAAAATTTGCTGAGCACCGAAAATAATAGTTGCTCTTGTTCTAATGCACACAAAAAAAACACTACTACTTTTAACCACGTTTATCAAAAAGAATGTACCATTTTTTAAAGCACATATCAGTGTTCATATAAAATAAAATTCATATCTTATGTTAACGTTAATTAATATAAGATTGCTCTCTAAATTAGCATCGAAAACTAACAAACCATTAGCTAACATAAATCAAACTAGAGTAAGAATTAATCATTAACAAAGAAGTAACTCATCACAAAATTCATGAAATCATTGACACTTGCAATAAATGATCAACCACAACAAGAGAACAAAATTTATGAGAGAGAGAAGAGTGAGAAAAACATACTTAGTAAGCAGCTAAACATAACCACCATTAACACGAATAACTTGACCATTAACCCATTCAGCAGCATCAGAAGCCAAAAACCCAACCAAAGGTGCAACATCTTTCGTCTCCCCGAGCCTCCCCAACGGTGACTCATCAATTATCTTCTTCACCTGTTCCTCCGTTCTCCCTCCGAAGAACAGCTCCGTCGCGATCGGCCCCGGCGCCACGCAATTAGCCGTTATCCCTGTCCCCTTCAGCTCCTTTGCCAATATCTTTGTCATCGTCTCCACCGCCGCCTTCGCCGCCGTGTACGCCCCGAACCCCACCCTCAGCGCCCCCACCTGCGACGACGAGAACAGTATGATCCTCCCTCCGCCGCCGCGCTTCACCCGCCTCGCTGCCTCCCGGCAGCACAGGAACGCGCCCCTCGCGTTAACGGCGAAAACGCGGTCGAAGCTCTCAACCGAGGTGTCGGCGATGGAAGGGTAATTGCTGTCTAGGGTTCCGGCCGAGTTGACCAGGATGTGAACCGGCGAGTTGAATTCCCGCTCGGCCGATTCGAACAGGTTCTGCACCTGAGTCTGATCGGAGATGTCGGCGCGGACTGCAATCGCTCGCGGGAGGACGAGAGCGGCGGCGGAGGCGGAGGCAGAAGCGTTGATCTCGGCGGCGAGTGAGTCGGCTGGGAACGAGTTGTGAGAGGAGTAGTTTATAACAACTCGGGCACCGAGTTGACTCAGGTGAAGAGCGACCTCTCGGCCGATTCCGCGGGACGACCCAGTAACGATTGCGACTCGGTCTTGTAGCGGAAGAGATTGAGTGGAAGTGGAAGTAGCCATATGCACTCACTGATGCTGAAGATAATTATTGCAAGATTAGGATTACGATAAATTTGTAAGGTGTTTAGACTTTATATTATGCATATAATAATCCCATCTTATTTAATAAACTTTTGGAATATATTAGTTAATTAAAAAGAAATGTACTATTAAAGAGTTGAAGATAAAGAGAGTAATTTTTATTTAACTACATACTGATTTAAGTTTGTAAATGATAAGATAACATATAACTTCATTTCATAATATTATCAAAGGCACTACAGGGGAAACAAATGCAAGACACTCATAAACCCCATAAATATAATAATAAAAATATTATAATAAATATTAACTGTAACTTATATATAAATTTTTATCATTGATATTGTATTGGTTCACTAGTTTTAAGACCGAATGGTATTATTTTTATTTGTTTTAATGGGAAACCGAATGGTTTCTTAATAATTGAATTGACAGGACCCAAATTAGTTGGTGGTCTGATTTTTTCTTGTGTGTCAACACATCAGGTCTAGTTTTAATAATAATGATCAAACACATGATCGGTTAAAAAATAAAATTAAGGAATTTTTTTGGTTTAAGAAAATGTTTCTTATTTTCATTTTGTAAATTAACTTTTTTTCAAAAAATTTACGTCCTAAAAAATATTTTTAGTTTAGTTTGTTATTTTCTGTTTTCAAAAAATAAATAGTACGATAATTTGTTTGGTTTACGTAGTGTTGACGAATTAAAAAGTTTAAAAAATTTATATGAAAATTAAAATGTTTAATAATAAGAATAAATTTATATTTATATTCATAAAATTATCAATCAATTATCTCAAAATCTTAAATTATTACATGAAAAACAAATAAATGATTTTTATATTACATTTCTAATAATAATGGTCCCACATTATTTATCACATAATATTTTAGACAATATATATTAGAATAAATCTATATATTTAGCCTTTAAATCTCACAAAATCAATTTTTCTGGTCTAAAATTAGCATGGACTAAAGTATTAGAGCAGCATATGCCAGCTTTACACTTTTTCTTTTTTCTTTGTAGTCAGATTAATTCCCTTTATGACATAGAACGGTTTTTGCCTGAGTTGCATAGCTTGGAAATCAAATCCGATACCTTTCAACCCTTGGAGTCCTCTCCTTGGGCACATGATTCATGCAAAATCTCCTACAAGAATCAAGAGCCATACCTCCAAGCCTATTTACTGTCCTCAATTTTGAGTATCGAAATCCATGGAAGAGATATCAAAATCAGCACTCTGGGTTAAACCAAATGTCACCAATAGCTTCAGCATGTGATATATGGGTCAAAAAGAATGCATGCAAAGAAAGCTCATGAAATGCCTCAGCTATTATTGTTCACCTGAAAAGGAGAATAGAAAAACATGGTATCATGATACTTACTAAAAAATAACTAGCATAATGTGGAATTTTTAAAATAAGAGAGCCTACTAAAGCACTCAGGAACCGATTCAGATGAAGCAAAGTTATAGAAGATGCAAGACAGAACATACTGACAATGTACACACAAGATGAATAACAGCATCACATTAGAAGCATCAAGTCACTGACTTGTCCTAAAATATATCCAATTACTTCAGGTTGGAGTTCTTACCACAGACTTGGATGACCAATTCAAATATTCTGCAACATTAGTCATAATTTGTTGTTCACACCACAAGCCTAGACGGATTCATTCATTATAGTCAACCTTCTTCCCTCTCACCAGTAATCTTTACATGAACAAACACCACCTTCAAAATGATGAAAGCGATATGAATCTCTCACTATGATAACTCGATCTGATATCTTAGAGACATACTTAATCCAGTTGTGGCAATCCCCACAAACCCGAAGATTTTTAAAAACATGGATAGGAGTGGAACTAGACAAACTAAGCAATCCAAAAGCAATTGCCAGTTTCTCACTGTGTATAATTTGTGTTGGATCCTTCTGACGTCGTTCGACATCATTCAGAAGGAAATTGCGCTGCGGCACATAACCATTTTCAGCAGCTCGTTCATTCAGATCTCTGAGATATTCACATATCATGTCTGCATTAGGGTGTTTCTGATCACCAGCGAAAAATGCATGAACTGAATTATTAACCTCTATCCAGCTACGACCAGGCTCTTTCTTAACACCTCTATCTTTCATCATTTCCCTTGCCCGATCCCTACAACCCCATTTCCCAGTCACTGCATACATGTTTGAAAGCAAAACATAGGTTGCTGAATCTTTGGGTTCCAGTTCCAGAAGATGACTTGCAGCAAACTCCCCAATATCAAGATTCTTATGAACAATACAAGCACTTAAAAGGGTCCTCCAGACCATTGCATCTGGTTGAATTGGCATCTCCTCTATAAATCTCCTAGCACGGCTTAAAAGACCAGACCGCCCAAGAAGATCCACAATACATGCATAATGTTCAGGTTTTGGCACCAAGCTGTGCACTTCACTTATTGATTGAAAGTATCTAATTCCCTCATCCACCAAACCCACATGGCTACATGCTGATAAAACTCCCACAAAGGTGACGTGGTTTGGTAATACACCAAGCTGTTTCATATCTTCAAAAAGTCTTAGTGCTTCGAATCCATAACCATGTTGAGAATAACCAGTAATCATGGCATTCCATGAAACCTCATTTTTCTCGGGCATTTCAAAGAACTGTCTCTCAGCATCACCAATGCTACCACATTTTGCATATAGTGTGATCAAAGCATTAGAAACCTCAGATTCTGAATCATAGCCAGCTTTTTTAATCATGGCATGAATCAGCTTCCCTAGTCTAACATTAGCAACATTTGCTGCAGCACTAACTGCAGAGCCAAATGTGAATGAATTGATTTCTAGTCCAGCTTTATTCATTTGAGCAAATAGATTCAGTGCTTCCTCAAAATGTCCGCTTTGTGCAAAACCTGATATCAATGAGTTCCATGATATATTATCTTTAGCAAATATTTTATCGAAAGCAACATATGCTTCTTGTACTTTCCCACACCTAGCATAAAGACTAACAAGTGCGTTACCAATTGAAAGATCATCCAAATAACCAGAGACACATGACTGAGCATGAATCTGCTTTCCTTGATCAAGTGCTTGGATACCTGCACATGCACTGATTGCACTTGCAAATCCTATATTATCAGATTGTATCCCTTGATCTTGCATTTCTTCAAAGAGGTTAAGAGCTTCAGCAAACATATCATGTTGTGTATATCCAGCGATCATGGCTGTCCAGGAAACAACATCTTTCTCTTTTAGTCTTCTAAGGATTTTCAGGGCAGTATCTAGTTTTCCAAGTTTGGCATACATGTCAATAAGCACACTAGAGACATACACATTGAACTGAAAACCAGTTTTTAGTACTTGAGTATGAATCTGTTCTCCTAGATCAAGAGCTCCCAAAGAAGTACAGGTTTTCAAGATACTCGGATAGGTGAATTGATTGGGTACAATACCTTCTATCTGCATCTGTGTAAATATTTGAAATGATTCGTTCAGATTGTCTAACAGGCCATAAGCCACGAGCATCACATTCCACAGCACCACATTTTCATTTTCAGTAGCAAGGAAAAAATCGTGGGCAGTTTTTAAATCTGAGCATTTTACATAAAGATCAAGCAGTGCACCTTCAAGGATTATGTCTGAAGATATTCCAGACTTTATTGCATATGAGTGTAATTGCTTTCCTTTCAGAAGAGCCCCAACTGATGCACATGCACTCAAAAGACTTGCAACTGTAATGCAATCAGGTTTTAGGCAATCAAGATGCATTTTCTTAAACAACTCTAAAGCTCTGTCACTATATCCTTGTTGAGCTAGACCTGAGATGAGTGAGTTATATGAAACTCTGTCCCTCTGTGACATTGCATTAAAAATCTGATCTGCAGATATCAAATTCCCCAAACGGGAATATAACGTCACAAGGGCATTGCAAACATATGTTTCAGAAGAGAATCCCTGCTTCAGGAGAAGGCCATGAAGCTGCTCTCCAAACTCAAAAAATTCTACTTTTGTACACGCACTTAGAACACTAGAAAAAGTATAAGGGGTAGGGTAGATTCCTGATGTATGCATCTGGTAAAATAAAAGAATGGCTTCTTCTTCATAACCACTTTGCGATAAACCGGATATCATAGCTACCCAAGAAACACTATCTCTCTGCTGTAAATTGTCAAAAACCTTCTTAGCAGAATTCAAAAAACCATTTTTAAAATAGAAATCAATCAAAGGATTACATATAAACAGACTATTTTCAAAACCAGAAGTTATAGTCCTGGCATGTATTTGCTCCACATAGTGAACCGGAACAACATTACCACTACAACAACCCCTCAAGACCCCTGCAAAAGTTTTCTCATCAGGTTTAACCTTTTCCTTCATCATTTGCTGAAACAAACCTGGAACTTGACCCGTCAACTTGTCTGCAACAAACCTATGTATAATCTTATTCCAACAAGACAATGGTCTATTAGGCATATCATCAAAAACCTTGACTGCACCATCCAAATCACCAAATGCAATGTACAAATCCATAAGACGATCACACAAAACCACTTCTGCATAAAAACCCATCTTCAAAATCTTCCCATGAAGCTTCCACCCATCTGAAAACGACCCAGAATTCAGACACCCTTCTAACAACCACAAATATGTCTGAGAATTGGCACGAACACCACGTTCCTCCATTAGATGCAAGAAATCAATTCCATTTTCATCCCCCTCATTTTTCCCCTCAAGAAGATCATCGTAGCCGTAGGCATAGTTCACTGCAGTGTTAGTGTTACTGAAAGCAGAAAAACTCAAATTTCCACAAAGTAACTGCAAATAGAAAAGAAAAAAAACACAAACTTTTCAGAACAAGGTTCATGAAGTAACCAAGAAACCTTAAGATTTAGCATTACCTTATGATCCTTAGAAATGGGTCTGTATAATTTTTGATGTTTGAATTTGTACTTTTGTGGGAAAGAATAGGACTTGGAACATAGGAAGAAGAACCCACGGAGAGAAAGGGTAGAAGTAAGCATAGATTGGGGTGTTAGCATAGCATCTAATCTGAAGTCTTAAAAGGTAGTTGGTAGTTTTTGTTTCAATCATGGAAATGTGTTGGAAAAATCATTGTGAAGGAAAAAGTTTTGGTGGTCTATACCTGCGTGGTCCTTTATTCAATGGATGACACTTGAATAAAATTTATAAGTAAATATAATTTTGGTCTCTAACAAAAAAACACGGTTCTTACTTTACTCCCTTACGAAAATAAATTAGTCAGTTGGTCCCTAACAAATTCAAAGTGGACCCATTTTAGTCCTTTTGAGAGACTAATATGGGTCTTTTTTTAATTTGTGAGGGACCACGATTTCAACTAAATGGGTCCACTTTGAATTTGTTAGGAACTAACAAAATAATTTATTTTTGTAAGAGACTAAAGTGGGGACCGTGTTTTTTATTAGGGACCAAAAAAGGTATTTATTCAAAATTTATTTTTCATGTCTTCTCCCTTTTCAATACTGATTTTGATTGATCAGAATCACTCGAGGTCCTGTAGTAGAGGATAAATTTTTTTATCCGGATATATGATTTCGAAAAAATGATAGAAAAGTTAGTTGTTGGAAATGTTACAAAAAGTTGTTTGATAAGTATAAATTTTCCTTGAATTATTTGGTTAAGTTTAGTGGGTCTGTGTTTGGTTGATTATGAAATATTATAGAGAATATGGGATTATTTTACAAAAATAACCTCACTTTTACTTTTTGTATTCAAATGTGTATTTGTTCGTTGAAACAGTCATATGTGTAGGACGGTGAGTTCCATGGTTTTTCGAAAGAGCTCTATTATTAGATTGGGGGATGATCCACTTACCACCAAAAAAGTTTACAACTTTTACAACCAATTTAATCACCGTTGATTTTCATCAATCTAACTGTTATAATTTATTGAGAATTAATAAATGTGACACAATAAATGCTATTAATTCCCAATAAATTACAACCGTTAGATTGACGGAAATCAACGGTGATTAAATTGGTTGTAAGAGTTGTAAACTTTTTTGGTGGTAAGTGGATCCGTTCCCTATTAGATTTGAAAAGAGTGGGAAGAATAGGACGCGGTTGCGAACATTTTGTTCTGGGCTTTGTAGGACTGTGAGTAGCTCCTCCTATATATGTCATGGTTTCATCATATAGTTGCTCCATGCTTTACTATTTGTTGAGCTTCCTCCTTTAATGCTAAGCCCAAGCCCATTTGAGGAGTTTCCTAAAAACCCTAACCCTAATTTCCACCTCCTCTATATATACTCATTAGTTTTGGGTGGAGGCTAAGTCATATGAGAGAATTTTATTTGACAGATATTTGAGAGAAAATTGTTTGAGCAAAGCTTTATGCTTTGCATTTGAGAGATCTCTAGAGAGAGTTTGAGTGAAACATCTCTAGGGTAGTTTGATTATCACCATTGTTGGAGAGGTTGAGTTAACCACCACATTGGTGTATTTGATTATTTGTAACCATTATTTTCATAGTGGATTTTTTGATCTAGACTAGGTCCCGTGGGTTTTTACTTCTTCATTGAACAAGGTTTTCCCACGTTAAAAATTGCTTGTGTTTTCTCTCTCTCTCTCTCCCGTGTTTACATTTTGATTTTTCCGCTGCGCTGCCCGACCTGGTGAAATTCAAGCCGAGGTATAGCCGAGATCTGAGATCGAGGATCTCATTGTCTAACTTCCACAAAAGCCCCTGAGCCGAGCTTGAGGGAACCGAGTTTTCCCAACAGTGGTATCAGAGCCCGAGTTCGACGGGTTCTGAGGGAGACAAGATGGAGACCAGTGGCATAACCAATGATGGAGACATGTTCAAGTTGACCACAGATAATTTCACCTATTGGAGACCGATGATGGAAGATCATCTCTACTGCAAAGATCTACATGAGCCTATTACCCTTGATGAGAGACCCGCAGGCAAGACAGATAAGAAGTGGGAGATCCTGAGTCGGAAGGTTGTAGCCACTATCAGGAAATATATTGATAAAAGCCTCTTTGAGCACGTGTCCGAGTTCACGAACGCGTATGAGTTGTGGACGAAGCTGGAGTCCATGATTCAGAAGAAGACTCCCAGGAATAAAGCATACCTGGTTCGCTGACTTGTGAAGCTTGAATACAAGGACGGCATGAGCATGATTGAACACCTCAACACCTATAAAGGTATTGTGAATCAGCTGTCAAAAGCTGGGATGAAAATTGATAATGAGATGCAGGCTTTGCTGCTGTTGAGCTCGCTGCCAGAAAGCTGGGATACTCTGGTGGTGACTTTAAGTAATTCAGCTCCAGAAGGAAAGTTGAAGATGGATGTCGTGCCAGACAGCCTCCTGAGCGAAGAAGTCAGGAGAAGAGAACGAGGTGTTTCGAGCACGTCTGAGGCCAACGTTGCTGAAAACAAAGGGAAATCTGACTCCCGGGGTAGAAGCAAAAGCTGGGGTCGAGATCGTGACAGAAGAGGAAAGTCCAGAGGTCGGTCAAAGTCGAAATATAAGTTGAAGTGCTTTTACTATGGAAAGACAGGCCATAAGAAGCCAGACTGCTGGACCCTGCAGAATGATGAGAAGAACGACTCTGTGAAGCCGGATCAGATTATTCCCAAGAAGAGGGAAGACAAGAGCACCACTGCGGTGGCTGCCAACCCGGATGCCGAGATATTCCTCCTTGGTGAGGATAATTATTTGAATATTGCATATGATGACTGCACCTGGATTGTTGACTCTGGTGCCTCCTTCCACATTACTCCACACAAAGATTTTTTCTCCTCTTACCGAGGTGGTGATTTTGGAGTCGTGAAGATGGGAAATCAAGTGACCAGCAAGATTGTTGGTGTCGGTGATGTAACTCTGACCACGGATGTTGGATGCTGACTTGTGTTGAAAGATGTAAGGCATGTTCCTGACATGCGTTTGAACCTAATCTCGGTAGGCAAACTTGATGATGCCGGGTTAGTGAACTACTTCGGTAGTGTTAGATGGAAGCTGGCCAAGGGAAACTTGGTCGTGGCCCGAGGTAAGAAGGAAGGCTCCTTGTACGTGATGCAAGGAAAGATCAATGGCGGAGAAGCCAATTCTGTCCGAGATGAACCTAGCTTGGAGCTATGGCACAAGCGCCTCGGCTACATGAGCGAGAAAGGGCTCCAGATCCTGAACAAGAAAGGATTATTGATCGGGTTGAAAGGCCAAGCGTTGGAAAGTTGCATGCATTGCCTAGCTGGAAAGCAGCACCGAGTTTCTTTTGTGAGACCGGATTAACCAAGACGACGTAGGTATATTCTTGACCTCGTCCATACTGATGTCTGCTCCATGTCGGAAAGAACCCTTGGAGGAGCTCAGTACTTTGTTTCATTTATTGATGACCACTCCCGCAAAGTGTGGGTATATTTGTTGAAGTCTAAAGACCAGGTACTCCAATCCTTTAAAGAATTCTATGCTATGGTTGAAAGGGAGACTGGCAAGAAATTGAAGATGGTCCGATCTGATAATGGTGGTGAGTATTGCGGCCCATTTGATGCATACTGCAGAGCGGCCGGGATTCGACCAGAGAAGACGCCCCCAAGACACCTCAGCTGAATGGACTGGCTGAGCGGATGAACAAAACTATTGAAGAGAAGGTCTGAAGCATGTTATCCAATGCCGGATTGTCGAAATCATTCTGGGGAGAAGCCATCAAAACAGCTGTTGACTTGATCAACCTCTCACCATCACGGCCACTTGAAGGAGAAATTCTAGAAGAAGTCTGGACAGGTCGGAAAGCGGCCTATAATCAATTGAAAGTGTTTGGATGCCGAGCTTTCGTGCATATCCCTAAAGATGAAAGGGCTAAACTTGATGCAAAGACCAAAGAATGCATTTATCTTGGTTCGTCGAGATGTGAGCTCGGGTTCCGACTTCGGGATCCAATCAATAAGAAGATTGTGAGAAGCCGAGATGTGATCTTTCATGTGCATGAGAACATTCATGACATCTCGAAGCCCAAAGTCCGAGTTACTGTCAGACGAGAAGAACCCATCCCTCCTGTCCGAGTTGAAGCAGGGGGAGAAAATCAAGAAAATGAAGAAAATGATGATCAGCAACAAGATGAAGATGACCAAGACATTGAGGTCCGAGTTGATGATGAGATCCGGGATGAGAATGATGAACCGGGTCCTCAAGCTGAAGAACAGCCGAGATATCCAACTCGAGAAAGAAGACCCTCTACAAGATACCCATCTGATGAATACATCATTGTTGTTGAAGACGGTGAGCCTCAGAGTTATGATGAGGCTGTAACGAGCTCAGAGAAAGAAGAATGGGAAAAGGCAATGCAAGATGAGATGAAGTCTCTGCACGAGAATCAGACTTATGAGCTGACCGAGTTGCCAGAAGGAAGACGAGCTTTGAAAAACAAATGGGTCTACAAGATTAAGAATGAAGAGAACGGGCAGAAGCCGAGATACAAAGCCCGGATTGTAGTGAAAGGCTGCAATCAGAAGAAAGGAGTTGATTTTGTGGAGATTTTTTCTCCTGTGGTGAAAATGACCTCGGTCCGAACCGTGTTAGCCATGGCGGCTTCGATGGACCTCGAGGTAGAACAAATGGACGTGAAGACGACATTTCTTCATGGTGATTTAGAAGAAGAAATATATATGGAGCAACCTGAAGGGTTCCGAGCTCCAGACCAAGAAGACTTGGTATGTCGGTTGAAGAAGAGCCTCTATGGCTTGAAGCAAGCACCTCGGCAGTGGTACAAGAAGTTTGAATCATTCATGACTGATTATAAGTTTGAGAAGACTGAAGCCGACCATTGCGTATTTGTGAAGAGGTATGAGGCCGGAGATTTCCTGATTTTGTTGTTATATGTTGATGACATGCTTATTGTAGGGAAAGACAAATCGAGGATGGCCGCCCTGAAAAAGGCGTTGAGCTCGTCCTTCGCAATGAAGGACCTCGGCCCTGTAAAGCAGATTCTCGGAATCAAGATCATCCGAGATAGACAAAAGAAGCTATTGTGGCTAAGTCAAGAGAAGTATATTGAGA